ATTATGTTATATCTAAAAAAATTGGTTGATTTATCAATTATAAATATAAAATTACTAGATTAATTAAACTTCTCATCATTATATTTAACAAAATTAAAAAAAAAAAAATCTTGCCCATCGCGCGAGTCATATTCTAATAATAAAAATACAAAAGATTAGGTAAGTATAACTCACGGCTTAGGAACTCCATCATCAAAAATAAAATAAAAAACTCACGGTTGGGGTCGACCGGTTATAATATTAATTACTTTAATAGCAATAATTTAAAGATTAGTTGCTATCATATAGATACTTATGTCACCACTAACACCAAAGAAACAAATAGATACTTGTCTTCCTAACTTTCTTTTAATTAAGTTTCAAAAAAAATAATAACTTTCTTTTAATTTTAATGGAGGCTCTTACATGCATACATTCAATTCAAACCCTAACATCATGATATAATAGAATAAGTACGCATTGATTACTCGACAAATTTAATATGCATGTAGAAAACATTGTGATAGTGAGTTCACTGCCACATCCACTATCTTTATATGTTTCTTAATCAGTGGCCTCAACAACTCATAAGTCTACCAAAAGAATATACATAACTGCTTTCTATCTTTAAGAATATAACTCGTTTTCTTCAAGATTTTCCTGTTCCTGAGTCAAATTCCAGTTTAGAATCAAAGTGAGTGAAATGTTCAATTACATTACGGAATTTCCCGATTCGTAAGGGTTTTGTTAGTTTCTTTATTATTATGGTGTTAATCATAATGGTCTGGATTAAATCTTTTAAATGAGTAATAAAGATTGGTTGTTTGTTTTTATAGATAGTGATTTGATTATGCAATTTGTGAGAATTTTACGATTTTTTTTCAAATATGCATTGTTATGCTTATTACTAGTCTTATTGGATCCAATGAATGTGTTTGGGAATCCATAACAGTCGTGTTATGCCTCATACAGTGGACAAAGTAAGATGTTGGGCAAAAGCATTCCATTAATGTTATAGCATATATCTTTTCACCTTTTACGCAAATTAAAGAAATTGACAAATGAAAAAAAAGTGAAAGGTTATTAACTTATTATAACTTTAAAAGGAAAAAAAAAGCAATGATGAACATGTGAGTCATGTTATATTCCCACATTAAATATAATAAAGAGATAATTTAATCAAAATTAAAGCTTGTCTCCTTCATTTTCAATTTCGCAATCATCGTCTCATCAATGAAGCACACTTAAATCGTTTGTGCTGAAGGAAATTCATAATCTCGTTTCGAGAATTCTCAACAAAGGAAAACCAGCACACTATCACTTGGTTACATAAACTAAGCTTATGATGATTATTTGAAATAGATTCGTTTATATACCGTTTGAATGAGAGTTGTATTATATTTTTTCTTAGGATCGAGAACCGGTTGGATTGGGATCATGGTCATCTAATCGATTAATTTTTAACTCGTATTGTTAATTATCTTACGATATAATATGATTATATAACAATCTTTAAAAATATATTCTTTTGTCAATGCATATTCTTTTATCTAATGTTTTAACTTACCTTTTAAAAGTAATATATTTTTGGTATTCAACAAAAAAAAATTTAACCGATAAGAGAATCAATCATAACTGAATATAATCCAATTTGCCTAGTCAGACTTAGAAAACAGTGATTGCTAGCCAAAGAATCGAAGATGCTAGATTTTCACTAGATTGCCACTAAAAGAATATAGTGTCGATAACATAGATTAATTACGTTTTTTTTTTTTGCTAAACTAGATTAATTACGTTGTAGACAGCAAAGTAGAGAAATACATGTAAAGCCCTAATGGAATGCTTTGGCTCTTGAAGTCAAAATTCTTTAACACTAGGGGCCAAAGAGAATACATAAAAAAAAGGCTTAAAAGTTGGAGATAGTGTCACTATATATCAACCAACAAACGTTGCCTTCTTGTGTTTTTTATGTATTTTTACTTCAAATTACGTATTTTTGCCACTGCCACTTATTACAGTACTTCAATTTCCGAGACACAGACAATTTTCCAAAACGAGCTCATTTTTTTGCTAAGAATGTTCAAAAACGAGCTCACAAACTAATAACGTGCTCGAATGTAAATCAGCTAAAGCCATATTGACTATACGTTGGCATGCAACTAGCGGAAGGTAGTTTAGTCGTCATTCCGCCAAATAAACGGCTCTTCAAGCCGAAACACCACATCCTCTTCTCCGTAAAGCTGCCACGTGGAAATGTTGTTGTAGTAAAGAAACGTATCGTTTTGATTCATTAGCCCGTCAGTGAAAAGATCCGGTAAATCAAACACCGTCTCGTCGTTGCTTTCTTTGTCCGTACTCGAAGTCTCCGACGTGTCCGAAGAAAACACAAAACTGCTCGAAGCCGAAGACTCATGAGCCGTGGACAACTCGGAACGGCTTAACTCATCGGCTAATTTCTCACCGTTGACCCGGTTTTGCCACGTGGCGGCTGCGGCTTTCGCAGCTGCGATTTGTATATCTTTGGGAGAGCAACTAACCGGACGAGGAAGCAAACCAGATAATTCAGGGAAATTGAGATAACCGGAGTTGCCTTTGATAGCTAAAGCCGCTACGTCATGAGCTCGAGCTGCCATCTCAGCCGTTGGATAAGTGCCAAGCCATATTCTTGATTTCTTCCTTGGCTCTCTAATCTCCGATACCCATTTTCCCCAACTTCTCTTCCTTACTCCTCTATACGACGTTGGATTCTCATTATCATCGCCGCTCAGTTTTTCCCCGGCTTCTAACGATCTTTTGGAGGAAGAGGACCAAGATTCCGACGAAAATGTAGCTGCCACGGTGGAAGAGGAGGAGATCGCGGCGGCGACGGTTATAGTGGAAGCATTATTGTCTTCATGATGAGTAGCACTACTCTCTACGTTGATTTGTTTTTCCATTTT